TAGGAAATTGATATTTCAATTTTTGTTTTTATAAAAAAATAGTTTTATAAAAGTTTTATTTAAAAAATCAAGTTAATCCAACTTCAAAGTTGGATTTTCCCACTAACTAGTGATTTTTGAAGTGTTTCTTCAAGGCAATGACACCTATCTTTTACATGCTAGTGGGGTTTGAAGTGGAAGCATGCATTTGGTCTTTATATAGGTGATGAAAATCACTTGGAGAAGGCAAATGCTTCATCGCATAAGTGCAGAATTTTTCCACTCAAATTTCTATTGTTTTGTCCTAGCCATTAGTGTTTTCCCTTTGGTTTCACTCAAAATTTGTTCCTACAATCGTGTTCATCATCCCGAGGATAGCACGGATCTACCATTGGTTGTCCCATTGAGTTAGGAAAAAAAGTTATAGTGAAGGTCTTCAAAGGTATAAAGTTAATCACTTCCTCTTTAATTTTTCATCATATTTTCCAACATGCTTATTTTAGTTAAATTGCTTTATTAAGTGTATTATGATCCTTAGCTTCCACTGTGCATGTCCAAAGTTCTTTCAAAAAGAATAATCCTAAATACTAATTAACTATATATTTATAATTAATATATATTTATATATGGACTATATTGGATCGGGCCTTCAGGACAGTGAGTGGGCCAATCCAAATACGACCCAAACGAGCTGGCCCATGGGTCAGCCCAATTTAAAAAACACAAATATCCATATCCAATCCAATTTATGGATGGACTGGATTGGGCCGGGCCGGTCAAACATTGACTTTGGGCTGAGCTTAGATCGAGCTTGGGCTGGGCTTAGGCCGACCTTTGGGCTTTGAGCCCAATGATGAGGTTGAGAAAGGACAAGGGTCTCATCAACTTTTAAGTAATTAATTATTATTATTATTATATATATAAATAAAAAAATAAGAATATTATATAATATATATGCGGTTCGATTTTCTAAGCGGTTTTTAACTCTTGAAACTGAAGCTGAACCAAAATATTCAGTTTTAAATTTTATTAACCAAACCGAACTGTAAAACCACAAAAATAAAAAATTTAGTTCGATTTCGGTTCGATTTTTGGGTTTTGTTGATTTTGTTGTGCACCCCTAATTGGAGCCTTGAACTTCGGAGGAATGGGACCATCAAGTATAGCTTATGAAAATGAGGTTTCTCTTGCTCGACTATTCAGAGTGGATCTAAAGGCTGATTTTTGTACGAATTATGTTCTATTGTGCAAGTATACACAACTGTTGTAGCGAGTAATAAAAAGGTCGTCTCCACAGAGATTAATAGCTAAACACCTCAACAAATGCTTAAGAAAACTAACAAATTAACAAAATATGTAAAACAAAAGAAAGTGATGGGACTCAAACACGCTAAGTCAATAAGTGATTTTCTAATTAAAAACAAGTCAGAACTGATTGCAAAACCCAAATCGATTATCAAAAACACGCAAATAAATGATTAACTACTGGCGTTTCAAAGAGTAAGGGGGAAGAGTCTATGTGACTTCTTGTGGCACGTAAACAATGCTACAGCATTAATGATGATGAACATGGAGTCTTCCCAGACTTCCCATATTTTCTTCTATTCAAGTTTTTAGACAAACTCGACAACATATCAGCACAGTTTATAGCCTCACTAGGTGAGCCTTATTCGTAAGTACATGCTATCTAACTCAAGTATATCTAGCACGAGTTGAAGCTAAGCACATCCTATTACAATTTCCCAAAAGTTAATAAGAAGATATCCAAACATGTTGATCAAGCATGTTGAAAATAACAATTAAAAACAACTTCAACTCAATATTCTTCATCATTAAAATCAGTAACAAAGTCTATAGCCCAAAAAAAGTTGACAACATCCTCCCCTCACAATGGGGTTTAGCTACGCATGGCCATAAAAATAAAGAAGAGACAAATTACGAAGAAATACAAAATGCAGCTAAAGAGAGGGAGAGGGAGTTGAAGTTTTCAGCTTCAAATTGGTCCTCTGGTCTCTATTTGCAACAGCTTCGGGGGTTCTTCTCTTCTCCTTGTCCTTCTTCAAACTTAGGAGCTTTCTTGAGTGGGAGTAAAGTGAATATTCTCTAAAAGTGTGTGTGGAGGCTCCCACCTGGTTTTTAAGGCAACAACAGATAAAGTGGGCCCCCAGCTCTAACTTCCAAATGATTCTCCAGTTTACTGTGGTAATTCTTCGGGTAAAGTTTTGTCACTACCAGATTTGTCGTTTTCTGCTTCCTTTAGATTTCGATGTTGTAGCATCAACAATGCTGCACCAAAATATCCAAAATTAGGTCATTTTCTCTAACTTCTACACAATCAACAAAGTAAAGGAAAATAATGGAATTATATTAGTCTTTGCACAATGTCTGTGTAAATTGGGTGCTAGGGAGACTATGTTTAGCTAATTTATATGAACTTTACCCTTAAATAACTCTCTTTTGGAGAGTTATCATTTATACTATTTTTTCAAATCCTCAATTTTCTTTTCAAACTTGTCTCTGAGTTGGTCCATCTTAAACCATATGTCGTGGTCGCCTTAAGATGAAGCTCGATGATCATTGACTTCCTAGCTTTTCTTGAGAGTATGCCTCAGGTTGCCTGCTGCTGTTACTTGTCGTCGATGTCGGTGAGAGCAATCATTGATTAGGTCATGCAGATCGCGACTGTTCTCAGGAATTTCTTGATATAACCTAGGGAGTCGAACGTTTGGGCGTTGTTCATCACGAGGCCGATCTAGATGCTGACGATCACCTTCATGTGGCTCGGGAAGGATCTCCACACTCGGGTGAAGATTTCTTGTGGGGGAGTTTTCATATGAACTCCTCTAGTCGCGCGCCGATGGTGGTCATCTCTCGAGGTAAGGTGTGAGGGGGGGCCCTTGCCTTCCAAGGGTCCTGTGAGACCGAGGAGGGTGACATCTTACCTCTATTCTCAATAGCTTCCAATCGAGCTTTCACCTCTGTTAATTTAGCGATGACATTAGCAACAATGGTGGGATATATTGGTAGGTCGACACTTCTCCCAGATCGGGCCTCGATACTGCCCCAATTGCGAACTAGAGGCATCGGAGGAGGGAGAGGTTCCTCTATGCCAAGTGTGGAAGGAACTGCTAATCCTTGTTCTTGTCACTTGCTGGATTCTGGTCCCGAGGCAGGTCAAGTGGAGTAGGTTGCCCCATAACAAGCTGACCATTGACAATTGGACCACAAGCAAGGGAGTGATCTTCAAGTCGGTCACCCTCATGTCGTTGACCCATACTTGCAACCACAGAGGTACCACCAGTTGTGAGTAAGTGTGGCGGGTATGAGTATGGGGCATGTTAGTGTGTGCCCTCGAAGTGGGAGTGCGAGATATCTGGGAACGAGTTTGAGCCATTTTCTTAATTCAACGATGGTAGGGAATGACTTGTAAATTTGTTGTTCCCATTGACAGCGCCAAATGTTAGATCGTGAAAATGATCAAACTCGAATCTGTGTAGCTCAGACTGACCACACCAAAGTACTTGAGACCTGCAAAATAGAGTTAGCACTTTGACACTCTAGTTAGTATATCGTCCGATCTATATTGAGAAAGAATATATTTTGCGTACCTTTATGAAAGGTGGGGTGTTAGGTTTGACTTTTTGTTGTAGAGATGTGACTATCAAGGCATATTTGACCATAAAAAGGAACCCTTTTCCTTCATATTTAATTAAAAGTGTTTACATTTTCTTAAGATACGATATAAGAAGAATATTTCCTAGGATAGATTAGAAATTTATGATGGTTAAAAGTGGATTTGGAGAAAGCTTATGATAGATTGTCATGGGACTTTTTAGAAAAAAACCCTTGCATGTTAGGGCTACCAAGTAATCTAAAAAATGTAATTATGGATTGTGTTTCTTCGGCTACCTTACAAATTCTTTAGAATGGGGAGCCGACAATATTATTCGAAATGAAACGGGGTGTTCGCCAAGGATGCCCTTGTCTCCTTATCTCTTCGTTCTATGCTTGGAACGTTTATTCCACTACATAACTGACTCGATAGGAGGGGCAAATGGAAGCCTATAAGAATAGATATCATGGGCTGACAATATCACATTTAATGTTTGCAGATGACATTCTGCTATTTGCAGAAGCCACCCCTAGATTGAATGGGAGAAGTTAGTTCAATATTGGAGAAGTTTTGTGGTGCCTCTCGACAAAAAGTTACTAACACCAAAACAGTAATATATTTCTCAAGAAAGGTGTTGCCTGAATGCCAACGATCGATAGCAAACTTTGGTGGGTTTAAAATAACCTCGAATATTGGGAGATACTTAGGGATTCCAATAATCCATGGTTGGTTTCGTAGCTCTTATTTGCAGGGAATAATAAACAAAGTATATATGAGGCTTAACAAATGGTCAGCGACTTCCTTATCTCTTGCTGGAAGGGAAACCCTAGTCCAATCTGTCCTACAGGCTATTCCAACATATTCGATGCATATTTTTTGCTTTCCAGTTGCAGTGGGCAACAAATTAGATCAACTATGTAGACATTTCCTTTAAGGTCATACCAATTCTAGATCTAGAATCCATTTGATCAATTGGGCAAGGATTACTAGGCCTAAAAAGGAAGGAGGATTAGGATTATTTAAGTTCAAAGAGTTCAATACGGCCCTCATTGGGAAAATTGCATGAGGAATTTTAGCAAGACCAAACGATCTTTGGGCTCGATTTTTATTAAACAAATATAGAGGTCGGTGGGATGAAGATTGGAAGATTAAAGTCAAGCAAGGTGACTCTTGGTTGTGGGTTTCTGTTGCTAGAGCATGGAATGAAATAAAATAGTGGATGGGGTGGGGCATCGGTAATGGATGTGGAGTAAAATTTTGGCAGGATCGTCGAATAAATGGGAAGAGTCTCATGTATGAATTAGGGATGAGAGATATTTTAGAGGCTGACTTAAGGAGACCTGTGAGGGACTTTATAACAGAAAGTGGTGAATGGAATTTGGAAGCATTTGCTGGAAAAATTAATCAATCAGCACTGCTAGCCATTTGGAAATGGGATTGGATCCAAAAATGGGGATTACTCTGTTTCAGTTACCTATGCGAGTTTACTATCATTAAGATCTTTATCCCTTGAATTGCAACTGTAGAAAGTTATTTGGAAATGGGAAGGGCCGAATAGAGTCTGTATTTTTCTTTGGCTAGTGGCTCATGAAAGATTGTTGACGAACCAAGAAAGGTTTAGGAAACATATTAGCTCAACAGATAATTGCTCTCTCTATCCCCAATACACGAAATCAATAATACATGTGCTTCGAGATTGCAAGATAGCAAGACAAATTTGGACCAATTTAATTCCTCCAAATTTTACTAATAATTTCTTTTCTTGTGATTGCAGCAATGGTTGGCATTAATCAATCCACCATATTTGCATTGACCACCCCTTTTTGCGACTGGTTGTTGGCTCTTGTGGTCCTGGAGAAACAAAGCTATTTTCGACCCAACTTTCTGTAGGGCAGTGGACTCAGTCATAATAATTCGAAGAACTGTGGATAGCTTTATCAAGTCTTGGAAGTTGGTAGCACCTCTCTCAAGCAAAGCAAATCGATGCTGGGCCGATATTAGTTGGAAGCCACTACAAATTAATTTATGGAAGCTTAACATAGATGGGTCAGCGCATGGCAACCTGGGAAGGGTAGGAGTTAGAGGCTTAATTAGGAATTCTGATGGAAATTGGATAAAGGCCTTTCAGCAAAACCTGGGCTACACGACGTCAATTGTAGCAGAATTATGGGTTATCCTACCTGGTCTAAAATTGGCTTGGAGCCTGAGTGCAGAATGCTTGTTATTGAATCTGAATCAGAAGTCGCCTGTAATTTAGTAAGGAATAGTACACAGTCCACTCTACTCAGGCCGTTGTTGTAAAAAAATCGCACAGTTGATGGAAAGGGATTGGACGGTGTCAATTCAACATATCTATAGAGAAGCAAATCACAGTGCGGATTGGTTCCATCTGTGTGAACAGCCCCCTAAAGGCATTCTTCACCTGGGCAGACATCGTAGCGGTCTCCATGCCTCGTCTTATTTCTTTCTAGTTTGTTTATTTTTTTGGGCTATTAAGTCCATGTCGTTCCGGAAAAAAAAAAAAAAATTTCAATGATTTAGAATGAATTAATCGAATTCGAAATAATTTCCATCGTTTAAAATCCGTAAATTTGAAATCATTTCCCATCTACGAGAGAGAGAGAGAGAAAAAAATAATAATAAAACCTCCAAACACGCCGTTTTGTGTTTTGAAAGGGGGCAATTCCCCAATTCCACCCAGCAACAGCAAGTGGTTTACTAATTAGAGACCGGAGACGCGCTGCCTGAGCTTCAGAGAGAGAATATGGCGACTGAACTGGAAGAATTGCTACACTTTCTATCTTCGCCCTCGCCTCAAGTAAGTCCCTTTAGGCCTCAACTATCATTTGTTGTTAGCGTGAAGAAAAAGAGTTTCTTTTTTCATAGATTTGTTGGCGCAATGGAGCATACAGTTCTATGTATCTTACGAAACGGACAGATTTAAGCCCAATCCAACATTTTGTTACATAAGTTCACATTCATTCGCTCTGTTTTATTTGCTCGGAGTACATGGTTGCACGTTTTGATCCCTTTGAACGGCCTTTATTTATTTATTTATTTATTTTTTTGCATGATGTGGTGACTTAAAGTTAAAACTGAAGTTAAATATTGGAAGTTCTCTGTGCGGCGTCTTGCTAATTTAGTTTGCCTGTAACTAACTAGGTTTTAGAATTTTTTTTTTTTTTTGTGACGGCCTACCATTTTTATGCTGTATAGGTGAGGAAAGCGGCCATTGATATTGTTCAAGGTTTAACTGGGTCTGAGGATGGGTTGCAGTCTCTTGCCAAGCACCCGAAGGTCCTTCTACCATCATTAGCTCGACTCTTGAGAGAACAAAAGGTGCTCTTTAATCTATCTTCTTCTTTATGGATATAAGGTGATCAACTCTGTATGCATTATTAATTATATCATATAGGACGGAAGAGTTTTAATTTGAAAATTTTCATTTGTCCTGAATGTGAATATAAAAAAACAACGGAACATCTTAGAGAGTTTTTATGATAATGCAGTCATAATAAATCTCAATCACTCTTCCTGACTTCCTGTTAACGTTACAAAGTGTTGAGCTGGCTTATTATTTGAAAGGCAGGCAAAATGTGTCATATGGTTGCTGTTAATTAGGATTTAAATATAACTCGTGCTTCACTTTACAGCAATTTATCGTCCATATTTCATCTATTTCATTTGAATCATTAGGAAGGTGGGTTTCAAGTCTTACGATGGGCTGCCATGTATCACAAGACCTATTTGGATATAAACAATTTAAGGAACCAGGCGATCCTCTGCTAGTATAATTCAAGATATTTGGCAAATGTGAATCATTGAACATGAATAATTTTGATGATATATTTTTTCTATCATATTAGGATGTGGCAGAACGTGCAGCAGAAGCTCTTGTAAATCTTTCACAAAATTCTGATCTAGCTGCAAAGATGATAGACTTGGGGCTAGTTGCAGCAGCTTTGGATCTTTTGTATAATGTTGACTCCAGCATTAGCCAGTTGCTGTTAATGCTTCTGGTTAATCTAACTCAGTTGGATGCTGGTATTGCTTCGTTACTTCAGGTGTGCCTATACATTGTTACAGTGGCGTTGTCTTTGGTTGATGTGTAGATGAGCTATTTTTATTGAAATTTGTATGAGATAGTTGGAAAGCTTCTATTTTAAACATTCCATTAGGCATTCAAAATTAGATTAGACCTTTATAATCTTTACGAAATAAGAAAATAATTGTTATGGTTATTGATTCTACTTCATAGACTGGAGATGACAAGATGCAAGGTCTCTATGTTATGAAGATTGTTAGATCATTTTGTAGATCTTCAAGTGAACCCACATGTATGTTTTGCTTCTTCTCTACTTCAGTTTGCTTTGAAGGATATGTTACTTTTCCAGAATCTTGGACTCCATATTCTATAATTTAATTTTTAAATACTTGGGATTGCAAGTTTTTAGTAGCTTTGTTCTTCTAAGATCTTTTCATGTGTGGTTTTACCTACTTAGTTTTTGCTGCGCTGCACTGGTATAAGTTCTTTGGCCTTTTTAGAAAAAGATTGTGATGCCACAATAGCCTTAACCTAATCCCTACAAACATTGATGCTACATAGATGCTAGAACACAATACACAACATTGAGTCCTATCTTTGAATTTATGAAATTTGGACATTAGCTATAGAGTTTTCATTGTTCATCTAACGTTTTAAATTGATTCCCTTCTAGATGATCCCTTTGAGCATGTTGCTTCCATACTTGTAAACATATCAAAGCAGGAATCTGGAAGGAAGCTTTTACTTGATCCTAAGCGGGGACTTTTGAAGCAGATAATTAGGCAGTGTGATTCAACTAGTCAACTACGGAAGAAGGGGGTAAGTCCAACGTAGCCTACTTTTTCTTTGATCAGTGACTGCTATGAAAGGAGTTTGAGACTGCTATGAAAGCAACGTAGTCTTATGATCACAATTATGGAAGCAAATTACACCGTAAGAATTGCATAAACTAAATGAGAATATTTTGAATTGATTATAATTTGAATTGATTGACAAAATTGGTCTACAAACTAATGCAACCAGGTGTTTATAAGCCCAAAAATAGACTAGTGGGAAAATAATGTACAAAAATAAAATTGGTCCAAGGATTTTTGTAATTATTCACCATTTTGTGATAAAGAGCAGATCCTTTGGTGGTGATTTTTGCTATTTTCTGGGGAATTTGTCGAGAGGAACAACAAAATTTTTAGAGGGGTTGAGAGATCTTGAAAAGAGGTTGAGTCTCTTGTTAGGTTTAATGCTACTCTTTGGGTGTCGGTTTCTAAGGTTTTTGTAACTATTCGCTTGGCCTAATCTTTTCTAGATTGGTGCCATTTTTTGTATAGTTAGTTCGGGCTCCACTCCTGTTGTTGTACTGTTTTTTTTTTTTTTTTGTGCCTTTTGTATTCTATTATGTTTCTCACACAAAGCTTTGTTTTCTTGTTCAGAAACAATTTAATTGGCCCAATAAATGCCTAACTAGATAATTACCTTAAAAAATAAATATATAATAAAATTAGATAACTTATCTGACCTACATCTGAGCAGGTTTCCTAGGAGGAAATGTTTATTTCTTTTTGCAACATTATCTTATGCAGCGAAAAGAATACCTTGTGTCATCGAAGCATAATTTTCCCCATAATTGATAGCTCTTTTTTTCTGAAAGAACTGGGATTATTGAGTTTTCATTTTTTCTTGGGATTTCTTGGATTTCAGTTATTTATTGTGGGTTGATTTCACTAGTGCAAAGACCTGTACAAAGTGTATTTTGGTTCTTCCTACTAGGGTTTTTTACCATGAGTAATTTTTGGTTCTTTCTACTGAGAATCTTTTGTGCTGGGTGTTTTTCTGTTCTTCTCTACCAAGGATCCCATCTTCTGCAAGACGGGAAAGAGGATCTGGAAAATTGGTGGAATATCATTTCCCTCTTTCTTTTCAGTGCAGGTCTGTCCCTAAATCTTGCCAAAACTTCTCAAGTGGGGATCAACACATTCAGAGGTAGAATCTCTAGCAACCAATTTGGGGTGTAATCACGAAAGCGTCCCTATTTATTACTTGGGGATTCCCGTAGGAGGAACCCAAAATCAAGCGGCTTCTGGGAACCCATGGTAGAAGTCTAGAGCTAAATTGGCCAGTTGGTAAAACCTCCTTTTATTCAAAGGGGGATGCCTCTCCATGTCCCAATCGGTCCTCAGCAGTTTGCCCCGATACCATCTCTCCCTTCTTAAAGCTCCAGTGGGATTATTAGAGAGATGGACAAGCTGTTAGAGATTTTTTTTTTTTTTGGGAGGAAGGAAGAAAACCAAGTTCAACACCATTGCGTTCACTTGGTCAAGTGGGAGTGTCCCTGCCCCTAACTTTGGGAGGTCTGGGCATTGAGTCTTTTAAACAGAGGAACAATGCCCTTCTCCTTAAATGGTTATGGCATTTTACACAAGAGAAACAAGCACTATGGTGCAGAATCACTTAAAGCATCTATGGGACTGGTGCTTTGGAAAATGCCCAGAGCCTAGAGGTGCGTGCCTAGGTGCTGGGCGCAATAGTGGCGCCTCGCCTTGAAAAGGCGAGGTGAAATTATGAAGATGCTTTAAGTGTGTGCCTCCCTCAGAAGCACCGGAGCAAAGCCATGTGCTATGGCTTCAAAAAGATAAATAATAATAATAATAATGAAAAACTGTAAATGCAGAAACCCTTGCATTTAGGATTTTTTTAACTATTTATATTTTTTTATTTTTGATTTGAAAGCTGACGGCTGTATAATGGGCCTAAATCCCAAAATCTTCATTTATTTCTCAAGTTTTTCCACCCACCCATGATATTTCAATTTTTTCCCTCCACTTACATATCAAGATTCACGTCCTTTCCTATTCTATGAACTTCTATTCCTTCACACACAGAGAAAATCTCTTTCTTTCCTGTGATCGCTATTCTATCTCTTCTATTATTCATTTTCAACAATGTTTTTTTATATCCGTTTTTTCAGGCCAGCTTGCACGCACCTCGACTAATCTTAGGGGGAAACGGTCTAATCCTAAAACATTTGCTTTCAGGGAATACATAGGAATTAATTCCTAAGGTAGGTGGCCATCATGGGCTCTAGCCCATTTGGACCAATGAGCTACCCGTGATAGTTTATGTAGCAATATACAATCTCTTTCTCTAGGATTTCTCCACAACAGCTACCCAAGGGCCAAGCAATCTGCAATCTCTCTCTATGTTATTTCTTCTTCTATTCTCTATTTTAGGATTGTTTGTGGAGCATTGATTGTTTATGTTAAAAGACTTATAGTGTTTGAATCTTATTTGGCTTTTATATGTTATATTATATCATATTATCTGTTATAACTCTTTTAGTTTCATATATGTTCGTGTATATATATACTTTTATGTATTTTTATATATAGTGTGTCTCGCGAAAAAAAGCCCGCATTTTCTTGCACCTTGCGGTTAAGCTCCGGAGGATTGTTGTGCTTTAGTGCGCCTTGAGCTTTAAAAAACATTGTAACACTCCATGGGACAGATCCACAAGGTTGGACAACTAAGCACCCACCCAAAGTGTGCGACAAAAAGAAGGCCCTGGTTTCACATAGCCAAGAATACGAGCTTTTTTCTCAACTTCATCTCATTCAAAGCAAATGATGGCCATCGGATACGATTTGTAAAGATAAATGGGATGGACATGAATTGGGGACTCAACCCTTGAGGCTTCCTTCCCTGATCCCTACAGCATTTCAAATAGAAAAGATGCTACCTTGAAAGACGGTTGGAATGAGGATCAGAAAGATCGGACCTTGGCTTTATAAGGGGCCTTTCCAACAGGGAATTTGATAATTGTTTGGGCCTGATTAATAAGATTGACTCTGTCCAGCTGGGGGTTTTGAAAGGATAAAGTGCTTTGGCCTTTGGATAGGTCTGCCTCTTTCACCACCAAATCATGTTCAGGCCAATCAAAGTGATCCATTCCTCTCTTCTTGAAGTTATTTTGAAGTTTAACTACCCCAAAAAGATCAAGATCTTTCTCTGGTTGGTCGCTCACAGAGGTCTAAATACCCAAGGGAAAATTTGGAGGAAATGTCAAGACTCAAAACTGGGCGCTCTCCCCTCGATGTGTCAAATGTGCTTGGCAGATGAAGAATCTTTGGATCATCTCTTCCTCTACTGGCCTTTTGCCCATAGATGCTGGTCTCTTCTTTTCAATATCTTCGACTTAAATGTTTGTCTCCACAAGAAAATTGATGACTGGCTGATAGAAGGTCTAGTGAATGGCCTTCTTAAAAATCGCTCTAAACTTCTTTGGAAACCCACAACGATAGCTTTACTTTAGATTTTAGAACTTATGGCTAGAAAGATTCGCAGATCCTTGGGGAACATTATTTTTACTTTACCTTCTTTTTGGAGCATTGTACTGCTCACAGCTTCTAGGTGGTGCTACACTTATAACAAATTCTTTTATACTTACTCTCTTCTACGATCCTTCATAATTGGAAGGACTTCTTGTATTAGTTCTTTGGGAGGGGGCCATCTCATCCCCTTCCCTAGGTTGTTCTTTCTTGTGAGTAATAAAATCCCAGGTTTATTGTTAAGAAAAAAAAAGATCCTTTGATGGCCTAGGAAGCACAAATTTCGAATGGGCTAGAATTTATTAGAAGAGTAATATCCGATTATGCCATATTCCTTTAGACATGCATTGGAGATGCCAAATTAGGTATTCACTTTTTCTTATTCATTTCTTATTTATTTGTTATTATCATCATTGGATAATATGTGGTTCAGTTTGTATTTTGGATAAATTATATTCACGGTTCCTGTGTTTTTAGCCTTTGGTCCCTACATTTCGAGGTTGATATGTAAACCGAATATAGTTACAGAAACCAAACTTAAATTGAAAGACTAAAAGCTTAATTTTCCCTAATTGATTTGTTTTTTTGTTTCAACTACTTATATAGTTAATTGGTAATTTAGTTGGGGTCTCTTGGTCATACGGCTTAGAGGTCTCAAGTTTGAACCTTCCAGTGAACTTAATGCCAAAATATCCTTGATGTCTCCCGGGTCCGAGCCTTGTGCCAGGCATGAGTGCCCTTGGGTATGGAGAGCAACGACTCCCAGTTATCAAATTAAAAAAAAATGGTAATTTATATTTACCATAAATTTGTATTATATATATTATTTTATTTATTAAAGCGGGGCCTTGCTTGAACAAGGCGATGCGCCGATGCCTTGAGGTGATCAAGAAACTTCTATTTATGTTCTCGTTTAGGGCTATCATCTCGAGATAGGTGTACTTGGCCCCTAGATACCTCCAAAAGCTTCACTATCAAATCTGTCTTTGCCAACATGATCTCACCATACAAGCATCAATCCTTCCCTCTTTTCAACAGGAATTGGAAGGATAAATTTTCCAGAAAGATCAAATTCTTCTGCTGGGAACTTAGCCACAATGCCATTAACACTCAAGATAGGTTGCAAAAAAGAATGCCGCATATCACTCCCTCTCCAAGCTGCTGCCATCTTTGTCTTAAGGAGGCAGAAACAAAGGGCCACCATTTCATTTTTTGCGATTATGCCTCTGGTTTTTGGGAAAAATTGCTCTCGATCTTTGGTCGGCAAACAACTCTGCACAACAATCCCAACATCTTCCATTGGAGCCCATTCTTTTAGTTTGACCCCTTTTCTGTGGGCTGTTTTTTTGTATGTCCCTTTGTATTCTTTCATTTTTCTCAATGAAAGCTTGACTTTTCATCAAAAAGAAAAAAAAAACAATCCCAACATCTTCCTTATCCTGCTCTAGATGGGTCATCCTTTCAAGAAACAGGGAGGAATTCTATGGACCCACATGGTTCGGGCTTTCCTATGGAGCATTTGGATTGAAAGGAACAAATAGGATCTTCAATGGCACATCTCTCCCTTCTTATGTCTTTTTTGATAGAGTTATAGTGTTAGCTTTTGGATAGTGTAAATGCTTTTATTCCCCTTTCAATAGCTACTCTCTCAATGAACTAGTCTCCAATTGGGAGGCCTTTTTCTAATACTGCCCTTGAGGCTTTTGTATATTTCATATCATCAATGAAATACATGTTTCTTATCAGGAAAAAAAAGTTATTAGTGTAAGCCTCCCCATGGCTCAATTGAAGGAAATAATATTTGTTATTGTCCCATAATGTCTTGTTAGTTCATAGTTGAATTGAATCATGGCATATCTAATGATTTCATTTGCTAATGGAGTATTGCAAGTGAGAGTCTCAATCCCATCACCTTGATCAAAGTCTGTGTTGAATATATATGTAGATATATATATGGGTTAGTATATAGTGAAGCCGTGTAGTTTAGTGTTTGTAAGAGTGCCTACGAGGAGAGAGTAGTTTGATAGTTGTGAGGACAATGAGAGTGCATAGACGATGTGGTGCGTAATTTATATTGAACTTGGCTTGGAAGAAGCATCTCTGTTCCTTGAATAATCTCGGTACAATTCCCTTGTATTTTTTGGCTCTTGTTGTCGGTACTTGATACAATTTGGGATTATCCTACATGACTGACTCTTTTCATGAGGATTATTTGCTTGTAAACTAGGTTAAATATTTTACAATATATACGTTTTGTACCCCATTACTTTGAGTTTTTCAATTTGGGAAACTGAGCGTCGAGCGAGGACTGTGGTTCGGCAGTTTACTTATTCCAGTCCAGTTGCAATGGTCAGCATGACTATATCTGTATTGATCAATCCACAACTCTTTATACGTGAACTGAAGTACATCTTTAATATAATAAAACTTTACTACCTAAAGTTGGATCACCAGGCTCATGTTTCCATGTTGCTTGCTTGTTTAAGGTATTTGGAACTCTCCGAAATTGTTGCTTTGAAGCAGAAGGTCAACTACAAAATTTACTCTTGATATCTGAATTCCTTTGGCCAGCTTTACTTCTTCCTGTTGCTGGGAGCAAGGTAATATTTTTTATGTGCTTCTTTCTTGATCCTCAAAATTTAATAGATTTGTTGCTTAGACAATAGTTGTGTGAGGTGGGAGTGGTTTACTTTCATGGTTGCTTTTACATTTATACTGTAACATTTTTTGTGTGCAGGTTTATAAGGAGGAGGATACATCAAAAATGCCACTTGAGCTTGGATCTGCACTCTCAATTGAGCGCGAGCAAACTGGTGATCCTGAAATTCGAGTTCAAGTGTTGGAGGCTATATACATGATCACATTGCAGGTCAAAGAGATAATTAAATCTCGATTTGAATTTGATGAAATCCCATTGCTCTTAAACTTTTGATTATTTGTTTATTTATTTTTCTCAAGGGAACAAAACTTTTTTTCATTGAAGTTGTGAAAAGTTAGGACGGAAAAATCCAATAACCTTCCTTCTTTAGGAGGAGAGTATTGGACATCCCCTAAGAACTCCACAAAGAACAAAAACAACATCCAAGCCCAACCCACCAAAATCAACCGTTGAAACAACAAATTTTTTATAACTTGACAAAATGTGAAGTCTAATAAAAGATCCTTCTCGAAGAACAGCTGCCTGAGTAGTTGAGGGACCTTTTCTCTAGACTCCTTTCTCGAATAAATCAAAGAATCACATTTTAAACGCCTGCTTCTTCTTCCTTTTTTTTTTTTTAAACTAGGAAGAAGTTTTCTTACTGATTGTATGAATAGTTACATGAACTCCCACTCAGATATATGGAAAACTGACCAAAAACCCAAAAAGCATGCTGATAAAAGGCCACAAATCAACTAAAATGATAGAACAAAAACAAAACAAAATTTTCCAAAGTGGTTGGGAAGAAGCTATATTAAAAATGCGGAGGAGCTCCAATAACAAAGGAATTGACAACCCATCGAAGAATCATTAGGATGAACAAAAATCCAGAAGCCATAAACATCCTTGCCCGCAAAACAACATCCACCTTCTGCAAAAATAACCAAAAAAAGTATTTTTGAAAATTCTAAAACCAACACTTTAATCCCTAAAGTTTAGAAGATAGTTTTAAATGGTCATTTTTCATTTTAGGGTAATGTTAAATGGTCGTTAAAGTTGGAACAAAAAAATTTCACTTAGTAGTCCATAAATAAATTAGAAAGATGAGTAACTTTCTCATGTTTTGAGTGCTTCATTTTGTTTTTGTCATCTTACTGCCAAAAGCTTAAAAGATTGATGTTTCTTAGCTCAAAAGTATCATTGTTCTATTGGTCCATCCTATCAGGAGGCGGGCCGAAGAGCGTTCTGGTCTATCAATGGACCAAAAATACTGCAAGTGGGTTATGAAGACGAGGAAGATCCAAAAGTAATGGAAGCATTTGAGAGAGTTGGCTCCCTAGTAAGTAACATCCATTTTTCACCAACCCAGCTGTATCTCTAAATATAGTGTTTTTCGTCTTTAATTTAATTTTCCTTGATTTATGTATCAGTTGATACATAGTGGCGGAGATGAGGAATCACACGATTGAGGAGAAATTTGCAGATAATATAGATTTAATTTATAGCTCTCAGAACAGGGCTTCTTCTGTTTCCTCAATCTCTGATGGGACGCATTGCAAAGAGAGCATGCAATCCCCCTGGTGTACAAAGGAGAAAGGAGAAAGGAGATGATAGTGCTTTTAGTTTTTTAAGATTATTTTTGAGTCGTTGTTACAGAATTTTCAG